TAGCGAACGTTCTCTCTATGAGCTTGTTTGGGAAACGCTCATAAAAAGTTGGCTCATAAATAATTATGCATCTGTTAAATCTTTGGTATGATCATCTTAATGCTTAAGTTACTTTGCAGTGTTGAGACTTCCGTTTCCCAGAGCCTTTGTAGCGTTATCATTGTTAGAACCATCTTATTATGGATGTATCTTTAGTAGCCGGTGTGTTTTCCAGAGCCTTTGTTAGTAACGTGGTTCTTAAAAACCTTCGCACATCTATGAGAGATCCAGACCACTTGTAGAGCAGCCAAAGTGCATCGTTAGATGCTTTTTTGCCCTTCCGCGTCAGTTTATTCACAGAAGATCTCTGCTAAACATAGAATCAATGTTTAGGCTATCTGTCTGACTATGACCGCGGATAACTTCAGAACGAAGTTGACTACAAATTGACTACACAGTTGCCAAAGTATTTGCAATTATTACAAACAAGTGAAGGATAGAATGATGCTTCAAATGAAAACGGAGATGACTGTATTAAAAGATGCATAGGCTACATTGGCCTATATAGGCTATTTCAATCATACTGAAATACATTTCTTGTTCAGTCAATTGAGCTCTATTTTGGGACTAAGCTACTGTCTGTAATTCTTGCCTCAATGTGTTTCATGATGTATGACAACATGTGCGCAATGATGTGCCCAATCTGTGATTTTGTGCATTATTAATAGAGCACAATAAGCCGCCTCAATAGCCTATTTGCAACCATAGGTGGTAATATCTCTCTAGGAGCTGATCCGTCAGTATTGTGGAATAATTATAATGTTAAGGTAAGATTTGAATGGAGAAAGCTGGTCTGAGAGCAGCGCTGCTTTTCGTTTGATCCTATCAGTATGGACCAAAATTTTCTAAAAAAGCACTTAGGGAACGTTCCCGCTACGTGCTTGTTTGGGAAACACTTTGGTAAATAACGATGCATCTGGTACATCATCTTAATGCTTAAGTTACATCGCAACTGGAAACGAGGCCATGGTCTGTCCTAGAAGTGAGGATAAACGGTAGGCAGGTTCTCTGCTATCCACTTCATTTTGTAGGCCTAATTATTATTTTGTGTATAGGGGAGGGTCACCTGTTTTTTTCTTCTTCAAGCTTTCAGGGAGGGTTTAGTTAAAATATATTTTGCTGAACCGAGGGCCATCAATTTTTTTTTCAGAGGTCCGATTTTCTCCAGGTAGGCCTACCCTTATTATTTATATTGTAGGCAACATAACCTTTTTTTTTTTTTTTTTTCACCTTTATTTAACCAGGTAAGCCAGTTGAGAACAAGTTCTCATTTACAACTGCGACCTGGCCAAGATACAGCAAAGCAGTGCGATAAAAACAACAACACAGAGTTACATATGGGGTAAAACAAAACAAAGTCAAAAATACAACAGAAATAAATATATATACAGTGTGTGCAAATGTAGCAAGTTATGGAGGTAAGGCAATAAGGCAATAAATAGGCTATCACTCGTAGTGGTCTTAATGACTAAACCACAAACCATTTTATTTATGCTCTTTGTGCTCAACTTCAGAAAACTTGGTAATTCTTGTTAAATCTGACAAGACAGCATTTGTTTTGGTTCTACTGTTGTCTCCAAAATTATCATTCAGCCCATATAAAGGGCAAAATGAGAGAGAACGAGCGACGTTTTCCCTGCGACTTCTGCTTTGTCCTCGCCAAAGTGGCGTCTGCATGTCTGACTCAGCCGGGTTACTGATTTGCAGGCAGCATGGTAAGGTGGCCCATGTAAGTGATTTCCACCGGCATCCCACTAAAGGAGAACAAATCGCTGACAAAGGAGAGAGCCTTTCCCATTCAGTGCTGTCGTTAGGACAACCCAAAAGTATTCCTCAGATATGAAGTTCTACTTCAAAGCGTTTCTCATTGATGGTGACTGCTTCACTCTTTTTCATTAAGTCCCACCACGCGGAGGGAAGTATCGCTTTGGTTATTTTTCATCGTGTTTATTTTGCAACATTCACGGAGCACTTGTTTTAAATAAATAGAGGAGGATTCAGCCTTTGTCCATATAAGGGTTTATGGACAAAAGGAAAAACGTCACAAGACTGCTTGTCTTCAATAAAACTTGATTAGAAAGTTATTATTATTACAAAAAGAGGGAATAAAAACTATTTGGAGACAAAGCAGGAGAGAAAGTATGAGAAGTGAAAATTGACTTAACAGATGTAACATGCATCTCAATAGAGTGCCTTGCAATGGAGGTGACTATTTGTGAAGCTGTACGTTTTCTGGGTTGTTTTATTGTCATAGCAATCGGTGATTTATATTGGTAAGCCTACATCTCAAAGCAGAAGTATGCTTTTCACTCAGTCTGGCATTGAACTTTGTACGATTGATTAGGTGCTTGTTTGTGTGTTTTCTGTTCAGGTATGGATGCGCAATGCTTGCATTCTATTTTTGCAGCTTGTTCTACATGACACAGAAACCAGACTCAAGAGGGATAAATAAATACTATTTCTTAACACTCTCTTACAAATGTGACTTATTGAGCGCAAAGGCATATGAATAATGTATTCTATTATTTCACTAATTTCATTCGTGCGTAATTGGCACACTGTTTTAAGACAATTCAATTATATGACTGCATGTATAAAATCATCTTTGCCTATTCTTTGCCCATCCTATAGTACCATACATTTTCTCATGAAAATGGCAAAACAATAAATACTGTCCCTGTATGCCTATTTCATTTTCTGTCAACAATATAGGCCAGCTAGGCCTATCTTTGTCGACACATGAGGCTGTTCGGGGAGAAGGTGCACTGTGCGCTTTGATGATAGTCCATTTAGTGGCAGTTAGTGGGTTTTTACCAGACATATTCAAATGTGAGCGTCTCGCTCCCCAATTGCTATAGAAATCCTAACGCACCATGAAGAGTGTCAAAGCGGCGGGCCTTCCGCTCAGAAGTATAGCAGGCCTTTGAGGTTGTGCAGGACTCGCGTTGGTCAATTTTAATTCTGGACAGGGCCGACTTTGAAAGTGAGGTTGTGCGTTTTAATGGAGGAAATAAGAAGTGGGACATGTTTTATATACTCTATACAAGGTCCTGCGTATTGATATTTTTTATATTTTATTTGTTCAATGAATGATTCATGCCTCGGTTGCTTTGTCCTGTCCCGCCTTTCAGACAACGCCATTATGGGGCTATACTTTTCCCCATTAGCCCTGATTGGTTTATACCAGCCCCTTATTGGGCCCGTTGTTTGTGAGTTACCAGTGAAAACTTTATTGAACTGTCAATAATTATGAATTCACGTTTAATGTTTATGTGTCTTGTTGACAATACGTTTGATGTTTACGATTATTAGAGTAGGGTATCCAACCAACCAGTTGCTTTTTCTTTGGAAACGTGTTTGTAGCCTACAATTACTTCGATCATGTATAGGCTATGATAATGCGATAATAGCTTTACAACTGATTTTACCAGCCAAATGGTTACATTTACTGCATGCAAACAAGTCAATTATGTAGGCATATCCTTGTCTAAGGAATTACATCCTACACTGACAGGCCTCCTGAATTCTATGAAGAAACAATACAGTTATGTTAACTAAAATACACGTATTAACTACCAACACGGCCTGGTGTGTTTATTAAGCTTTAAAATGAATTCATACTGTCAATTGGATCACGAACATCAAGGGTCTGCACAATCATAGCTGTTTCATCATCACTTTTTATCCATCGTAAATAATGGCACCATGCACCTCAAATAGAAAAACACAGTCACTACAAAGGGCATGCGAGAAGATGAACGTTTCACAATACACTGCCTATTCAAGTAAATAATAATTATTTTTCTTTTACAGAACAAAACCATCAGTAGGTCTATTACATATTCACCAAAATTAATATTAGTATTCTTTGGTGTCTCTGTAAATCCAGTACAACATTAATACCAGCAAATAAATTACAATGTACAAAACAACATATTCTTCGTAATTAAGACTAAGAACAACATTCACGAGCATCAGTACAATTATATACAAATCCGACCGTCATTGACAAAACCTGTCAGTGTACATATTTAGGGTCCCGAAGGACTTATTCGTACTCTTTAACTAGTGTAACACTGGTGTATTTGTTTTGTTTTGCATAAAATATAGTCTTAAATTGTTCTTAGACATAACAAAAGTCAATCCAAACATAGTCTTAAATCTTAAAACTAAGTTTGGACCCTTTAAGACACTTGCATGTTAGTAATATTATCATGTGTGTGCGACATGTCTATCGCTATCTGCAGGTGTTCGAAATTAAATTGGATGTTTAGGCTACATTAGTTCTCGCATCTACTGTGAGATTTACATAAGAAAAATGGAATGCAACTCCCCCTTCTTGGATGTTTAGGCATTATTATAGTGTTCATGGGCTGTTGATAAGCCTCATGTACTTTGCATGAGCAACAACGTCTGTTTTCTGCCAAATATCTGGGATTGGACATTGATGAATAAGACAGGTTACATTGTGAGGGGTTGCGATCATATAGACAATGTCAATGTAAGCATAATTCATCCGGATTAAACGATACATGCATGTAAATGTAGCCTGCATATGTATGCATGTGTTTTTTCAAAGGCCTATCCTTACTGATGACATTGTATTTCTGTTCTCAGTATATTTGGGCTTCTATAGCCTTTTAAATAATAAAGCTTACAAAATGACTATGAATATGATTTCCTTTTCTCAAATAATACTGGTGATTGTCGCTTTTCTATATTGAGACTTGTTGAGATGTTGATACATTCAGCTCTTTAGAAAGGGAACAGAGAGGGCACGTTTTATTGGCAGTTGTTGTTCTTCATCATCATCTGACATCCGCGACTCTATTTCTTGCTCCATAAAGTCAAATGTATATGCTTACAGTCAGTACAGTCCCCATGCAGGTAGTTCTTACTACACTTCTAACCAGTTGGGAGACAATTTGGGGAATGAACTCTATTTTTTATGTTTGTAAACATTAGAGCATTGTCCTCGGGTCTGAATTTCTGAAAGAGTCCTCGTCGTCCGAGTCCGAAGTTGGCACATCGCTGGAGGGGGTGTGGAGATGGTTGGGTCCCCCGCTCCCCTGGCACACGTACCACTCATTGAGGTTGGTAACCTGAGGCGAGAGGTTCACGGACCGGTTCCTGTGCGGTTCGGAGGCGGGCGAAAGGGGTGCGCCAAGAGGGTTCGTAGAAGAATGGTATGAAGCGTTGGCAGAAGGGGGCGGGGGCGACTTGCAGTGGACTTTCATGTGCTTTCGCAGCGAGCTGGGGTGCGTATAGGACTTGTCACAGCCTCTGACTTTGCAGTAGTAAGGCTTGTCACTCGTATGGACGTGGGAGTGCTTCTTCCGGTCGCTGCTGTTGGCGAATTTCCTGTCGCAGCCATCAAACTCGCACTTGAAAGGCTTCTCCCCTGGAAAAGATGGAGATGGAGATATTTAGCATTAGAGGCTACTCATATCCAATCAGGCTCAGGAAAGGGTGCATGTGTTATAACATAATATAACACATAATGATGACATTTTATGATGGCCTTTATAAACACATTTGATCAAAGTCCAAGAAGAATAACAAAGTTACCAAATGGTTAGGCCCAATAAAAATGTTATGACATCAAATGTATACAATATATTTCCAGCAAACAGCAATGTAAATTCCTTTAAGTTTGACCTATAAAATGGATGATCCATTTTCACCTTTATTCAACATGGACGTCCACATGCTCTACCCAAAGTAGGCCCATAATTGAATCCACCGCTTAACTGGTAACATATCACTTCCCGCAGTATAAGCCTGCTCCAAAAATGGTCAGTGTGGCAGCCCACTCTGCCACTAGGGCTTCCTGTCCGACATACCTTATTTATTATACATCTACACCCATGCCTACACCCAGGGATGTAGCTCAGTTGATAGAGCATGGCGTTTGCAACGCCAGGGTTGTGGGTTCGATTCCCACAGGGGGTATGAAAACAAATTTATGTATGCAGTAACTGTAAGTCGCTCTGGATAAGAGCGTCTGCTAACTGACTAAAATGTAAATGCCACTCCTCTCCCACATGTACAAGGCATGTTCCTGACTGACTGACGCACGTGGAACATGTCATAGGGTGGCTCGTGGGCTATACACGTGAACGTGCAGGGAAAATGTGTAGCCTATACAGAACCACAGTGAATGCAAGAAGGCGAAAACATTCAGAGGTTGCTTTGATGTAGGCTAATGTTGGCTATGTGATAAGTGCCGTGGAAACAAGTGCATTGGTAGGCCTAAATGAATGCCTTTTGGCGAAAGATAAACCTATATGTTGTAATGCTTGTATTGAGAAGATTGTGCATAAAATGATTTTGTGATTGTAAGATGGACAATTCAAAATAGAAAAACCATACACCAGCCTACTATGACTGTGTAGGGGCGGCCCCTTGGGTGTATTGTTTTTGTTTGTACTTTAGAAAAACATGTTATTGCCACAATCTGAATCTGCACGGAAAAAGGGCTCCTCATTCTAGCTCTTACTAAGCAGTCCCCATATCCCCAAAGGCTTGATGGTGCATCATGACAGTTTCAGTGGGCTCTGCTCTTCTCTCCCTCCTCACATTACTACCAAAGACACTGACATGATCTGATTGCCGTGCTGTTTTTCCAGTCTTGGGAGCCACTTGCTTTCGAAACAGGCCAGCCCTCAATGACACACTTGTCTCTCATACGTAGTTTCCGTGTGAGTTGTAAGGTGGAAAGTTGGGGGTGTTGCGCAGGCTATTCTGTAACATAGCATGCCTGCCGCTGCATACTGTATTGCATCATATTACAAGTGTTTAGACTGACTAACGCCATTGCTATGATCGGGCTCTAAGGACAAGTGCTAGGCTGCTGTATATCATTTTGGAAGAAAAGCCAGCCCCAGTAGTCCCTTTTCACTTTGTTGTTTTTCTTTAGTCAGTCTGAAATTATTATGAGTCAAGATTCGATGAAGTTATCATCAGCCTATCAATAGTCTAAAACTGTTATAACGTTCCCCCCAAATATAAATGTTAAATTTTCATCTGGCCTTCTAAAGTTTTTAGGAGCTCGATTTAGTAAGGTATGAAATCAGTACATGTATGTATGGTTGCTTCTGCTGTGAAGAGTCGATCAATCAACATAGCACTAACATGAGTCATAAAGACCTAAACGTCCTACGGAGTAATAACTACAACCATATGGCATAACCCCCCACCTCTAGTTTCCACGTCTCTACGAGTAAATAGCTCTTTCAGAAAGTTATTACTGTACACGTGATGCCTTGGCTTGACCATAATGAATCATTTTATTCGATGAAATCTCGTTCCTGTGACTTTTACGCATGGTCACCCTCCATGCCCGCCAGCAGTTAAAATGAAAACTTTTCCCAATATATTTTTGTTGTCTATGCCAAAAAAGTTTATTTAACATTTTCAAAGCGTCTACTTTGATTCAATATATCGATTTCTGTTTTATGCAGTTCTAAAATAATTCGGCACACTTTCACTGACCTGTGTGTGTCCTTTTGTGAATCTTTAGATTCTCCGAGCGTGCGAACACTTTTCCGCAGCCGGGGAAAGGGCAAGGGAACGGTTTCTCTCCCGTGTGAACTCGGATGTGGTTTATCAGTTTGTATTTCGCCTTAAAAGCTTTCCCCTCCCGCGGACATTCCTCCCAGAAGCAGACATGACTGGCTTGCTCCGGTCCCCCGACGTGCTCCACCGTGACATGGTTGACCAGCTCGTGCATGGTGCTGTAAGTTTTGGAGCAGGGCTTCTTTGTAGATTCATCCTGGTCAATCCATTTGCAGATTAACTCTTGCTTGATGGGCTGCCTCATGTATCTCAAAAATGCCCCCGCAGCTCCGTGAGGAGCAGAAGCGATGTTCACATTGAGGTTCATGGAGTTGTAGCTGTGGATAGAAGAGGGTCCATAGTGCTCGGGCCTGTGGCCGAAGTGCTCTGGCCTGCCGTAGATGTCCCCCGGTAGACCCAGACGCATCTGCCCGTTGAGGGCATGGTGATGGTGGTGGTGGGCACCTGGGGCCGCTTGGTCGTGGAGTCCAGAGAAAAGTGGATGGGCACCAGTTTCGGCGTGCCCATAAGCACCTGTTGGGGCGATGAACATGCCATGGTGATGAGGGGAGGAGGCGGAACTATGCTGGTCGCCAAGTGCATGCATAGCCGAGGCTGAGAGTTCTCTCCTGAGGATGTAGTCCCTGCTGCTAGAGTAGCCTGAGTGGGGGTGAGGAGCCACGGGGAAACCTACTGTGGTCTGAGCAGAAGTGAAGGATGCTGCTGCTGTTGCGGCGGTCTGGGCTTCGGGATGGCTCTGATTGTGCTGAGAGGGGCTAAGTTTGAGAGCGTTTGTCTGTGCCATGTGCTCGGGTCCAAATGGAGTGAGTGCCACTCCGGGGTCGTTGCCCATCTCCCCAGGGTGGTGGTGGGCATGGTGGGAGTGAGGGTGATGCACCCCTAGCCCCGGGAAGCCTGTCATATTCTGATGAGGAAGAGGTTGAGTCGCTGCCAAATCCGCTAATCTTATCGCCGGATTCCTCTTGCTCAAAGGGGGCTCCATAACTACACTGTCAAGTCCATCCACCGCTATTGTTTCTCCCCCACCATCACGATTTTCTAAAACATTAAAATATATGTATATAAGCGGTCTATATAACTTCTTTTGTCCTGCCTCTAACTCTGCTTGTTCCTTTTCCCACTCAGTCCTCAAGCGATTGACAGAACATACAACAGTTGGAGGACACAGTAGGGAATACAGTTTAGAAATGGCACTGCGGGTATTGGATGGATTTCGGTGACTGGCAGTTAAGAGAACGAAGCGATTGGCTGTCGTTCAGCGCAGGGACTCAGCGGGGTTCCGCCCCCTCGCTCTCTTTATCGCTGTCGACTCCAAAAAGTTTTACTCACAAAGTTACCAGCAAATCAGTTTATGCGGCTTGGTGTTTACCGGGGGCTGACGCACGTGGATGAAATTTAGGACGTCTACAGTATTAGAAATGGCTATACAGCGTTAATCTATTATTTTTCTTATTTTTCTTTAGGGGTGTAACCCCAAATGTAGAAAACATAATTTTAAATATAATAAATTATTATCACAATAACTCAAGTAGGCTATATGGACTTTTATTCAGGTCAAATTAAATACATACAAATAAATAATATTGGAGACATTTAGCCAAACAAATACTTTTAAAGCCATGGTCTCGAACAATTTATTTTGTGTCCATGGGCTAACGGCCATAGGGAAAGCTCGAAATGTCCACAACACTTCAAAGTAGCTATTAAAATTAGTGATTATTATTTAACAATTTATAATTTAGTATGCAATGTAAATGTTTTTATATGCATACAATTATATGTAATATATATATATATATTCCCACCATAACATATTTCCTCTTAAAAATAAAGGCCTTTTGATGTTTCCACTTGATATGGGTGACATACTATGCAGTTGATGTCTGTCCATGTTGCATTTCTGATTTATTGAGTTATTGTAACTTTATACTTAGTTGCATAGTAGAGTTTCGCTGGGCCGCAAGGTTCGAGCAAGGCAAAATGCAACTAACTGGATTTGTCAACTCCGTCAGACACCATAAAAGGCTTATCATTTGTACTATCAAGTGTATCATTTGTATCAAGTGTTTAAAGGCCTTGACTGTTTATTCTAACATTAGATTATTCAAATATGTAAAACAAATCTCCAAACGTATTTTTGCTTTGTTTTATAGCACTATTAAATTCTCCAGGGCTAATTTCGTTAGCATTTTGGCATGTTTTTCTAGATTTAGAACATAAAACAAAATGTATAAAGCAAACATTATCTCTTAGTTCTTGCATAGCAAATACTTCAATTGTTTAAGCATAAATTGCAGAACAGTGATTAAATATTTATTTCAGAATATTAAGGTCTTAAGGGGATTAACCATAAGTGATGGAGTTGATAAGCCACTGACGGAGTTGACAACAGATACTCAAAACAGACATATTTTTGCCTCTAAAAATAAAAGTTAAATACAAACATTTGTAAAGTATGGAACATGATTAATTTGAAAATACCCAATAAAAACATAACCATTCTATCAGATATTTTAGCACTCTGACAGAGTTGAGTTAACGATAGACAAAAATCGGACTTCATTCAAGTGGTACACAGTAGCAATTTTGTTTATCCTCAGTTGCCTTATGACTAAAACCTCATTAAATGTAACATATTTTAATCAAAAATAATATTAATAGGCATATTTGACATTTTTTGTCATTCAGCAAACGCTCTTATCCAGAGCTCCTTACAGTTAGTGAGTGCATACATTTTTCATACTGGCCCCCAGTGGGAATCGAACCCACAACCCTGGCGTTGCAAGCGCCATGCTCTACCAACGGAGCTACAGGAGGCCTGATGGAGTTGACAGTTTATGCGTGGTGATTCCAATTCTGTTTGTTTAAATCTATCAAAGGTAGAGAACTTTACAAACCATGAGTGGTCTTGTTGCACTACATGTAATGAAGACATGAATAAGGGGTCCTTATGGTATAGCTGACCCTGCTCATTCCTGATTAATTTTAGACAAATCTGACGGAGTTGACCAAATCTCAGGGCACATCCTTTAGGAATCCGTTTTGAGATAAATATTATTTAAAATCACAGAGGGCTATTGCAAGAAACTACATAAAATAATGTTTCTGTTAAGCTCATGGGCCCCGTCTTGCGGGGGCTGCGGGGGTGTCTGCTAAGCCAGTGTTTATACTCCAGTAATAAAGTAATGCATGAGCTGTGCAAGTATCACGGAGCACTATGACAATTGGGAAGTTATTCAATTCTGTGCAACAATCCATGCATAACCAACCCGATCTCAGCCGAAAAGCATGTTGGAATATTTTGCATTTATTTCGTGCTTAGATATATAAGCACATATCTTATAGGCACATACTGTAGATGGAATGCAATATTTTATAAATACAAGTGTTAGCCAAAGAAAAGTGTTGACATTGAATTGCAGTGTTGAAATGGAGGCCAATTAATTAATTAAGAGTAGCCTACACATAGCAGGGTGCCAAATTTAAGAAATGAAACATGTTGCATATACAACAATCATGTCCGTCTTAGATTTTAGCCAGCATTTGATGAACAAATTGCATATACATTGTATAAGTTATTATATTTTAAGACCTATCTATCTATTTTGCTAAATGACTTTCCAAATCTAGGATGTTCGTCCTCGCCACTGCCTCATGCATGGAGGAATCTGAGTAGTGTAAATAGTTTCTCCAAAAGTTGCCAGTGATCCTCTCAAAATAGTCATAACCTTTTATGACTTTAGCAATGAATGGAGTAAGAGAAGCTTGTAAATCTTAGAATTGGTTCACTTTTATGGTAGTGGCCCACGCCTTCCTGCAATGGTCCCTGTTCGTCACAGCAGGACGTATATCTGTCATCGATTTAATATGTCTTTTTTCAAAGACACCTTTGGAATAGATTTATGATCGGCGGCCTCACAGATCTCGATGTTATTGGTCCTTAAAGTGGTAGAAACATGACAGGGTTTGCCCAAAACTACCCCAGTACTCAACTCCAACTAATTAAATAAAATAATCTATGACTTCTAGATACTTTCGCATAGTATTTTTTGTCTTGGCATAGGGGCAGTACATGTAAAGTTACTATTTGATATTTAATAGGCTACCTTTTTACAGAGCAATTTGTTTGACCCAAGACCTTGCAATAAATTACCGTAGTTGAATGGTGTCACATACTATAGCTGACAATCTGTAAAATAATTATTAATCAATAGTCAACTTTTGGTATGTATTTTTCATTTCTAATGACTTGAAAATCAACAGTTGTACTCATAGTTGATTTTTTCTTTGGAGCAATCTATTTTGCAAGAGGGAACATATATCTCTAAAATACTTTTTAAAAATTGCCTAACAACGGAAATATTAGGCCTAGTGCGTAAAATGATCCATGATATGGACTCGTTATAATACATTTGCCATATATGGGTATTGACTTAAAAGGGAATAGGTCTGCATGCACCTGTGGTATAAACTAATAATTACCATTGATACGTGCTTCAAAGTGTCATAAAGTGTACTTTTTGGATTCAGAAGGCTAGCCTACCATGCGTAATTCAAATAAACAGTAAGCACATCTCCCTATACATTTTTTAAACATAATTAATAGATAGCCTACACATACAAATAACAGGTAGGCCTATAAATACTTCGGCTTCCAACTTTTTAATGTATATCTATTGAATGATCAATGTATCGACCCCGTTGGGATACATACAGTACAGTGTGTATGTTGTTGTCATCTACGAACAAGTGGCTCATTTGATAATAGGATTCCAATCTCAATGTGATCTCTAGGGTATTGTAAAAACAAATGAATATATCATTTTACAAAACATTTTAGTAAAGAGAAGGGTCCATGGTTATCAGGCCTAGGCCTATATGTTTTTAAATAGTAGCCGAAGAAAAAAAGTATTATAGAATATCCGAATACTGTTCATTCAAAGAGCACCCGTCCGAACTTCCCAACTGAATGAAGGAGTTAAATTCCTTGTTTCTGATTAGTAAGAAAATGCTCCTAACGGCTGTCCTTACTTCAGACGCTCAGCTGGAAGACGGGCGACGTCTTTAAACTTTTTAAAACAAAAGGCGCTTTGTTATAAAACAATGTTTATTTTACTGAAGAAGTCAAGAGTGCAACATATGTGGTCTTAACGGGTCATAGGTCAAAAATCCATGGAACAAACAAGGTCATGGAAACCACACAAGTAACCTTCCAATGCGTCAACGTATTGATATTGTCAAATAATGAACTAGTGAAATACGCCGGACTTCCTTCGCTCTTGGCCCGCATTAAGCGCTGCGCCATAAGGCCATGCCATGGTTTTATCCTTGTTGTTGGCAATATTCAAATCATAAGCATTATCAGAATTTATGTAGGAGTTTCTTTCTCTCTAAACCAAAAATAGTCAAAGGTGTGTTAGTGTCCATATATTAGTTTATATACATTTTACAATTGATGTTAAAGGCTATGTATAACCCTTTTTTAACACTTTCTGTCTCGTCCTCTGTATTCTGGCTCTGAGAAACCTGTTGAAATACATGTCTTTGGGCATTTTCAGAAGCCGCTTTGTTCTAGAGGTAGATGGAAATAAGAACCCATAGCTAGCTATGCGTCTGGTCCGATTGGGTTTTCTTTCTCTTTAATTTATTTTTCTCAAGTGACAGGGCAAGGGGTTTTGTAGTTTTCCACGGAAATAAATAAGTTATTTTAAGAAGTCGGCAGATTTAACTTTGAACTTGGATCAAGTCCTGCGTGTCCCGTGGTGCGGGGAGAAATAGATTCTTGAAAGAATGGCAGAGAACGCTCTGGCTGCCCCGGCTTGGGGCTGAGTGAGAGAGGGACAGGATTCCCAAAGTTTTCAGACGTCCTACTCTCCGTCCCGTTATTGACCGCTATGTTAAGTGTTTGGGAGCCGAGAGGGACCAGAGAAAGTTTGATTTGTGTTGGAGCAGGAGGACGTGTGGGACTTGAGTTCAATGGAAGTGTAAGTAAACTTACTTCACTTAGTGTGTACATTTCAATGGGCAGCTGTTGTTGGAGGCCGTTGTTAAACGCAGTCCATACAGTATGCGTTTTGGATGAAATATTAGCAAACCTTGTGAGTTGGCCGTGTTTTTGCAGGCAGGAACAGCAAGGTTTCTTGTTCAGATTGATTGTTACTTTATGGTAGGCTATGGCAATTGAAGGCTTTTTTTGAATTAGGCTTTTGGGTCTAGGCTATTTTGTTCTTTAGTAGCCTATACTAGAGATCTATTTGTGTATTACTTTATTACATTTGTTTTCAACAAACTCACCCAATTGTGATGACGTTACACACAATTCTTGTCTGTAATGCTCCCTAATATTTTCACCAAATTATGACTAATCAGAAATAATGTGTGTAGACCTATGGCAATGTGTTTTGCATTTAGGCTATAGGTATCTATAGTAATCTCATCTAATGCATTTGTTTTGCTTTTACAGGAGAGAAAACATTCAAACATGAGCTCATGCTGTTGATTGCAGATAAAATAAACAGTAACCATATTTTTCGGCCAACACTGACAAACTGTACAAGCTAAGCAAAGTGGACAAACCACCAACCCCGCTCTCTACAAAAACAAGGTAAATACTCTCTGAATATTAGTACCTCGTGCGTGTGTGTGTGTGTGTGTGGGGGGGGGGGATAAAAATCCCTGTAGTAAAGATTGAATATGCCATTGAAACAGTAGGCTAATACCACTTCACCAAACCCAAACCCGTAATACACATGGGAAACACAACATTATAATTCGTTTTAGAATTGTCATTTTATAGCCATAGTAGGCAATTGACTAACACACTAACTTTACTTCGTGTGTTTTATGTTTTCAAATTATTATGCAATGTTATCTAGCAGAATATGAACATCATGTACTGTTGTCATGTGAAAAGGGTAATTCTGGCATTGCAATTGGTGCGCAGACTGCAGTGTAATATTTGAACAAATGTACGGATAGACTACATCAGGGTTCTTCAATTCCGGTCCTGGAGGGCCGAATCACCTCTGTTTTTCATCCTCTCCTTCTAATCAGGGGCTAATTCAGACCTGGGACACCAGGTGAGTGCAATTAACTACCAGGTAGAAATAAAAAACAGAAGTGTTTCGGCCCTCCAGGACGGGTAGTTCAGTGATTGCTGTAGGCGCAGAGGCTATGAACATATTCCCTTTATGGGGTAAATGATCGTTAACTATTTTTTTTATAGTACTGTATTACATATATCTACAAGCTATGCAATAGAAATGTGAGGATATACAGCAGAAACATAAGCATAGCAAATAAGAACAAATTAATAATAATGATTTAATGAATACATAATGAATACATACATAATGCAGACTATTATATGTATTACATATAAATATATATATTTTTAGCAAGAAAAACACGGTCAACACCTAAAATAGTGGTTTGGCTAAATAATTTAAAATAGTTGCTAATTAAATCCGCCTGTCTAATGTGAAATTGAGTATTGCTGTTTACATTTAATTAAATGTGCAGACCCCACCTTCTCCCCAAAAGACCCGCTCGCTATTTCGAGTATCGTTATTTTCTATCATATTTATTTAATTCTAGCTCAACTTTTAAAGCCCGTTATCACACAACGTGCAATGTCGTGTTGTCAAGCCACCCGTTATACATCAACCAATAAAATTAAGGTTTTTAGGCATCATATTCGATAGTATTCTCTCTCTCTCTCTCTCTCTCTCTCTCTCTCTCTCTCTCTCTCTCTCTCTCTCTCGCTCTCTCTCTCTCTCTACCCTTCCCCCTAACATGTAGGCGGTAATTATTAGTGGAAAATGGCGATCAGCTATTAGTCGCCAAAGCGGTACCTGCTATTGGAGGGGCACTTGGGATTGATGAGACGAAGTGGCCAATGAGACTGCTTGGAATGAATGTCCAGGCTTCAGTTAAAGGGGGCGTAAGAGGAGCTAGTGCCAGTCCACGGAGAAAGAGGGACCCTCCGCGATAAACACAGAAAGAAAGAAATAAACACACCAGTCCGAACAACATTCCGAGATGCTGCAACAACCCGCTCTCTCTCCATGCGAGGACACCTAGTAAGATAATTATTCCATTCTTCCTGTGTGTTTAAACGCAATCAACAATCACAGTTTCCAGACGAAAAACGCAAAGGAATCTCTTCGTTTCATGGGGATTTTTAGTAACAAGTTAACTACCAGTGAATATAGACGTTTTTGTTTAGGTTTTTCCCCCTTACGAGCGGATCATCGCTTTGAACTTTGCCTGATATGGTGTTACCATGCATGGAAGTTGTGAATAACCCTAACCGAATAGAATATTGAATTGTATTTTTCCCCCCAAAAATTGTTGTACACAAGCTGATTCGAACGAAATTCGCTTTGAGAAACCATGTTACTGGATGCAGGTCACCAGTTCCCCGGACTGGGAGTTGGCACGTTTGCCAGGCATCACACAGCGAGCGAGATGCAGGAGAGAGACTTGAGTTTAGCACAAAATAGCTTCGTCGACTCGGCACACATGGGTGCGTTTAAACTGAACCATGATCTTTCTCCAGGACAGAGCTCAGCCTTCACCTCCCAGGCGCCCGGCTACCCCACAGCAGCTTTGGGTGCGCACGCCGCCCATGTCACCTCGTACGCGAGTTCCCCGTTCAACTCCACCAGGGACTTTCTTTTTCGCAGCCGTGGCTTCGGAGAATCCTCTCCCGCAAGCAGTCAGCACGCTATTTTCGGCCCCACTACGGGGTCTCTCCATCACTCCCACACAGACAGTCAAGGCCACATTCTGTTCCCCGGGATTCACGACCAGCATGGGTCCCACGGATCCCCGAATGTGCTCAACGGGCAAATGCGTCTTGGACTACCAGGGGAGGTTTTCGGCCGTTCCGACCAGTACCACCAGGTCTCCAGCCCAAGGACCGATCCTTATTCGGCCGCCCAGCTCCATAACCAGTACAGCAGCATGAATATGAACATGGGTATGCACATGGGAGCTCACCAGCACCACCCCGGTGCCTTTTTCCGCTACATGCGGCAGCAGTGCATCAAACAGGAGCTCATCTGTAAATGGATAGACCAGGAGCAGCTAAGCAACCCCAAGAAGAGTTGCAACAAAACTTTCAGCACCATGCACGAGCTGGTCACGCACGTCTCGGTGGAGCACGTCGGAGGACCGGAGCAGAGCAACCACATCTGCTTTTGGGAAGAGTGCCCACGCGAGAGCAAACCGTTTAAGGCAAAATACAAACTGGTGAATCACATTCGGGTCCACACGGGAGAGAAACCCTTCCCCTGCCCCTTCCCTGGATGTGGCAAGGTCTTCGCACGGTCGGAAAACTTGAAGATTCACAAGCGCACACATACAGGTAATTATACAATATTTATAGCATTTTACCCAAATGTTTCTCATCTCTCGAGCACTTTTTTCGTTTCGTAAAAGTACACCGCACATTTAAGAATTCGCTGTGCCAATGCGCCATGCTTTATTTCATCGTAGCCAATTGTATAGCCTGCAGAAATCTCATTTTTCTCGTTGCCAAAACATCCAAGATTATCAGTCGATAAGGTATTTTTAGACTGCCAAGGTAGACATTCACACCTACGGTCAAAGTACAAAAGAAAAGCTACTAGCCTAACGTGCGAACTGAACTCTAAAATAGAACACATAGCTGACGGGTCTGGAAAGGATTAGCGTTCGTCCAGTTCTGGAGAAATGCAATGTTTTGCAACAATGTGCTAAATTATGTAATATGTCTGTCGAGGTTTTATGGTTCATAAACTTAAAAATGGGTCAAAGGCGAGGCGAGGGCTTCTGGCTCGCAGCGCAGCGCATGGCGTGAGCCGAATAGTAGTACATCTCATCAACCGGTTTAATGTTTATGCAAGACTGAGCTTTTAGGATTATATCCGGAATGCCTCACCTCTTTTTCACAAATCGATGTATTTTAGTTTGTCCTTTGAGAAATATTGTTTGGCTTTTTGTTTTTTGGAAATTGTATAGCGAATTCACTCTTCATGAACATGCAAGTGTTTGAATGTGTGTAATGGCCTATTTTGTTTTCTCACGCATTCCATTGGTAGTAGTTTTGGAATATTTTCTGGGGGGATTTGGTTGTGCTATACAGCCATGGAATTGGTCAGGTGCTAATTAGTTTTGTTATTGTTTCCAAGCAAATGGCGCGCCTTCTGCACCAAAGGCTATTGCCCCACATGGGATGTTTGCGTTTTTTATATCAATTTTGCATTTCAGAGCCCTGACATATATTGAAATTAAGTAGTCTATGAAATACATATTCAAATATAGGCCTATTTTTACTTAGCCTACTAGTTACTTACATTAAATTGCTGTGATTCAAAACAAATAGGCTTCCCATAGGCCTAAATGATTAACTATTTCTTAAAATGCACCATTCCCTGCATAAAACAGAAAACCTCCGCTCCCACGAACATAGTTAATATCTTTAAATTAAGTTTGTGCTACAATTGAGATTTAACTGAATGGAAGGCATTTGAGTGAACATAACCGCATTCACTAACTATGAAGAACGCTATGACTTAACCCGTTACTCCTCGTTGAAAGGCCATGTTATTGAATCCAACTCCTATACTATTCGGCATAGTCGTTTTGTAGGCTTTTGCTGAACTGAATCTAACGTGTCTGTTTTATCCTTGTTTTTCTGTAGGAGAGAAACCATTCCAGTGTGAGTTTGAAGGCTGCGACAGGCGGTTTGCCAACAGCAGCGACCGAAAGAAGCACATGCACGTTCACACGTCAGACAAACCATATCTTTGCAAGATGTGTGACAAGTCCTACACACATCCCAGCTCTCTACGAAAACACATGAAGGTAAATGGACTTTCAATCTTTCACTTTCCAGCTGATAGTAGCATGTAAGGGTTGTTTACGTCTGTTGTTTATGTTACGTTCCTCACCATTCTTGAAGCACTTTGAAGTCATACTTCACAATTTGCCCATCATGATATCATAAACTCATTTTATCTGCACTTTTCTCCAGGTCCATGAAGCCGCCCCCCCACCAGCGTCCGACTCCTCGCCTGCAGCCAGTTCTGGTTATGAATCCTCCACACCGCCCGGCCTCGTCTCCCCCACCACCGAGACCCAAAGCAACAACAATCTGTCCCCCGCAGTCCACAACAACCACAATGGTCACAGCAGCCTATCGTCCAATTTCAGTGAATGGTATGTTTAGGACAGAACCGAAAAGTGAACGCAGAACCATTGCTCAGAACCCCAACCAGCGCAGGAGAATCGGACACTCGTGCACCAAGGAGAGCACGAATACGCTACTATGAACGCTTCAAAATCATAAAAAGCGATTCAAAACCACCAGGGAAGAAAACTCACTTAACCAACAGAAGATAATATGTGATATGTTTAAGGTGTATTCAATATATTTGTAAATAATTATTACACGTCCTCTTTCCCATTGGTTGTGATAGATTTTGTCAGTCTTTAGTGTATAGCGTAGATGTTCCTTCAATGGTAGCTATTTCTCTAACTGGACTTTTAGTGCACATATTACGATTGAAGTTGTATTATGATGTTAAATATTGTGATCCTAAGGCAAATTGATTGTAACTATACTAAACATCTATAAACTGGAAAGAGTGCCAAAATCAACACTTAACTCAAACAGACCACAATATTTTGCTTGTGAATGTATATTTTAGTTTGCTGGACTTAACTTGTGATGTTTTGTGCTTTGCAAGTTTTGAATTGTGAATTACTATCTGGAAGATTGTGAGGAAAATAAACATTGTGCCGTTGGATTTTTCTTTACCCCCTTCCTTTTGTAAATATCGACTGCCTTATTTATCAGTTTGTAATTAAATTATGGTATTTACTTGCTACAGATGAAACAATATTTATAAAGAATGTTTCTTTACTATAAATATGTACAATTATGAGCTAAACACGGGCAGTTGTTTTGTTATGTGTTTTTGTTCAAAGTTAAAGAGGTGTTTTCTTCATTATTGTGATAAGAATTTTACTGCATACAAATATAATAAAAAGTGTTGCAAGTGTTAAAAAACATTTCCCTCTCTTGATGTCTTCTTCATACCCATAATTGTTTTAATAGGAACTCTACTGGTGCCAAATATGTTTATTGTGAGGGTCAATTCAGATCAGCATTTTCATATACCTATAAAGCTAAGACTCACATTTGGTCAGCAAGAGTATGCATGCTATAAGGATATGGGTGTATCTGCACTATGTAAATTATATTCTGCTTCCAGTGGTAAAACAAGTATTGTTTTGGATATTAATACTCATGCCCTTAGGTCTTTCCCAAACGTTGGAGTTTACCCTCTTAAAAACCCATCAGCTCTGGATTCGTGTAGCACCACCTCTCGTGAATAAGTCATGATGAACATGGTCTGCAACTCCTGTTAATGTGGCTTACAGTGTCAACATGGCAGGCCAAATTACAAGTTGCAAGATGTATGCGTAGCCTAGGCATAACCATCTCGCCTGTCACAAAACAAACATTGTGGCTGAGGTTTATTTAAGCATGTAAGGCCAAACTGTAAACTCAACTAAAATGTATGTCTACTTGAAAGTAAAAAGAGTAGGCTATCTAAATCAGGCTACTCGAACCCGCGTGTTATGAAGCCTAACCTATAGCCTAACTCCTGCTTATAGAATCGCTTGTTTGTCCACGCATCCAAATAATGAAATACAATGTAGAAAATTAACACCCGGCAATGACTCAGACCATTTCAATTTGAGATGTATTAAATGGCAGTATCTTCTAACCGTTTTGGCACAGGCTTTACATTTGGTAGAGAGACCCCTGTACTCCCGAAAACCCAGCAGAACATCCCCTCCCTCACCCGGGCACTTTGGGGAAGACAGGGGGGTTTCTCAGTCAGAGCAGCCGTGAACTTGAACTTGACTCGGTCCTGAGCGGGGCTCGAGCCTTCTGTATGCGGAGACATGGTTAGGTGTATGCATACTTGGCCTTATCATTTATACAATTGAATTGATTTATTTCAATCACTTGGGTATACTTTCTCAGACTGAGACTGTTGCTTTATGGAATAGTGAGTGGTTTGTATTGTTTAGGCAACACAGGTTGAGAGAATGGCTACTTGAGACTATTTGAGTGGTTGCTTCTATCTGTGAATAAGACAGTGAGAGGGGATTATTGGTTACAGAACATCTGGCAGGTCCTGATAATCAAAACTGGCTCTGTTTTAACACATTGCCAAACTGCATCCCTTTTATCGATGGTGTGTGTAGGCCTAAGCAAGTTATTTTTTTGGACATCCCCCAGTGTATTTGCAGTCATTCATTATTAGTAGCCTAAACATGTATTATGTTTTTGACTATACAGCCGTTTTTTTTCTCCGTAGAAAATTCAATAGAGTTATGTGTGAGGGTAGGAAGAAGAAATAAATCTGGTAATGCCATATCATGAGCGATAAACCAGTGCATGTTGATGCAGGTGGCGAGTAACTGAGTCAGCTTTCTCAGTCTGAGACCATGTGAATTCAAGACGCTATACCGTCATTGACTTACCTACAAGGCTGCATACATATCTCGGCAATCCAACAATGTTTCTCCCTATCCCATTCCAGCTCAGTTGAATCATTCATTTAATCAAAGTTTAATGTTCAGATGTCTTAGACATGTTTTTACATAGCCTGGCTATAGGCTATAGCGTGAACTAATGTCCAGAGTGAACATACCGTATTTTTTCGCATAAAGCTTTTCGAATGATTCCCAAAGCTATTTAAATGATACATTTCGAGTAAATACTTGCTAATGGCACCTGGAAGTGCGGGATTTCTCACTGGCTGGGCTGGTGCTGTGACCTCTCTAGCGGAGGATGATATGACCTGTGGGGAGCAGGAAATGTCAAAGGTCATCTCCAGGCAGCTCGATGATGCCACTTCTTCCTCAGCGCATGATACTCTCATATTGATCTATGGTGGAGAAGGATGAGCTGGGAGAAGAGGTGTAATGCCCGAAAGGGGCACAGGGGCATGTGCCCCCTTAGATTTGTCCTGTTAAAAAAAAACATTACTAGCCACCTAGCAATCTTATAACGTTGGTTTTAGCTAGCCCAGATAGGTTCCCAATCTCCCAACCTCATAACTAGCTACAAGAAGCCATTTCAAGCTATCAATCAAGATAGAGCTTGTCTCATTATTTTAGCTGGCATGCCTGTTGGCAAGGTTGGTATACTTTAAATATGCTTCTCTACATCTCTGCTAAAATCTGGATAAAATATTGAAAGGAATGTGTCTTATTCAGTACATTTAGTTATTGCTTGCTTTTCTAGTTTTTTTTATAAAAATAACCACCAGTCAGGAGGATTCATACAGCTCAAGAGGTATGCTTAGATATGCAGAAAACTATACATATGTTTTTTTTAAACATAAATTAAGCATGGTTATGGTTCTAGATTACAGAAATAAGCTGTTTCAGGTGTTTGAAAATGCTAAATTCTCCAGCCTTCAGACCACCCCCCAGCCACCCTCACATACAGTTAGAGATTCAGAGCCTGGCTTTAAGGTGTTATTGATGGAGAGAAAACACGTTTTGGTTTCGTTTGAGCACCACTTGCCCTATAGGCTAATCTGTACTTTGTTTGAGGCGTATAGGCTAATTATGTAGCCTAAATGTGATACATTTTTTAAACATTATTTCTACATTCAATAAACACGTTTATTCAAAGTTTAGAGTAAACGTCTTCAGTACTTGACCCAAAGTAGCCTAATCTACATTTTCAAATAAAAATAATAATAGGCCTACACAATTTCCCTAAAGGAAGACAGACCATTGATAGAACATTGAGAGCAGTTGAAGTCAACATAAGTCTATTTATTGAAATGTATAGGTTAGGCTATATGATTGTTTATTTCATTTTATTCAGTTGCTCTCAGTGACAAGGGGCAGATACACAATTCATATACTCAAGTGTGGGGAGGAGTTGTGTGCATGTGTGTGTGTGTGTTTGTGTGACGTGTGACGTGTGTTTGTGTGGGTGGGTGTGCATGCGTATGGAAGTGAGAAAGGGGATGGTATAGCACATGTGGATGGGAGTGTGTGTGCGTGGGTGGGAGGGTGCTTGTTGTAAGAATTATGTTCATGCATTCGCTCGTGCCTCAGCTCCAGGTACAGTCAAGAAGGATGGGCGGAGCAGAAATCAAACCATGAATTTCATATTGATGTAATCAGTTAAGTAAAACATAAACAAAAACAAAATATGCTATAGTGGAATGGCATTAGGTTTATGATAAAAATGAATGCTTTATTCTGGGACATCACTCACACAGGAGGTTGGTAGCACCTTCATTGGGGAGGATGGGCTCGTGGTAATGGCTAGAGCGGAATTTGTGGAATGTTATCAAATACATCAAACTCATGGTTTCCATGTGTTTGATGCCATTCCATTTGCTCCGTTCCAGTCATTATTATGAGCCGTCCTCCCCTAAGCAGCCTCCACTGATCGCTCAGGAGCCTAAATGTTCATTGGGCTATTGCATATTGGCATTTTTTAATAGCTGGATTCGAACATGCAACATGGAATCAGATGCAGATGCTTGTGGCCAACCGCCATCCCCGTCCTTAACACTGAAACATGCTTGGAGGTAACAGCGCTCAATATTGCCCCTAGTGGCCGGTTTCCACTTCATAATCGGACATGGATGGACATTGAATACTGACTTGTAACACGGGTTACCGGCCTAGCCCAGACCTTACAACCATAAGCAGTTGTTGACCATAAGAGGGCAATGGGTTCTGTAACTAGTAGTATTTTTAGCCAGGGATGTCGAAATGTATGATCCTTTTGATGGCCTTTCTCTCTCTCTCTCTCTCTCTCTCTCTCTCTCTCTCTCTCTCTCTCTCTCTCTCTCTCTCTCTCTCTCTCTCTCTCTCTCTCTCTCTCTCTCTCTCTCTCTCTCTCTCTATCACACACACACACACGCACGCACACACACACACACAGGCACACACACACACACAACAATATATCTTGTGTAGGCTAAATGTCCAATGAAATCCCACGACCTTTTATTTTTATTTAAATGTAATTCTGTCCCAAATACATTAGAAACGCTTCGACTGTTTGTCGGGCTTCTAACGGAATTAACTCAATGTATTACTTTTAGGTCCATAGTGAATGGATATGATTCACACTATCCACTGGATAGGTTACCAACCACCACGTCTTGGTTTGTCATAACTAAATATGGTAACGACAATTAAATTAGGTATATTTTTTTCTATTTCACTTCTTAAATCTTTATGGTTTACAGAAGCACCTTGAAAATAGTTCACAAAACATAAGGCTAAACACTCCTCATTCGTTTATTTCAGAACTGCCTGCATTGAGATATTAAAAAGTTGGGTAATCCTTAAAATTAAATGTGCATAACACCCACAACAATTTGCATCTAGAATTTGGAAGTTAGCCTACAATTTAGGATGATACGCCAACGAATTTGAAAATAGATAGGCATTCAATTTCAAATTATGTATTTCATTCTATTTTGGATTGAATGCCAATAATTACGCAAGAATCAAAACATTAAAACCGAGGAAAGAATTTTAAATGACTATAGGGCTATCACAATCTTTGCAATATGACAGTAAATAATAGGCTAAACATAATTTTGTGGCACAAACATATAAGATATGCTAATTTTGGCTCTCCCTGCGGAGCGGTGTTCTAAACCAAATATCCTGTACATTTATGAATGAACCGGACACAATTTACTTAAAATGTAACTCATGGCTATAGTGTGTCAATCATCGTCAATCTTCGCCATACGCACCATGCCAACATTTCAACAGCCCTATTTTTAGACGGTGACAGTCGGCATTGCCCAAGCGCTGCTTTGAGCCATATATTTACATATTTGCATTTATCTAGCCAACTACAATCGTAGATTCAGTTGGTTTTTGGATTTAATTAGATTTCTAATTTTTTTGTGAACTCATTGGCCTATATGCTTATAACACCCATATGACCATAAATGCTGAGATTAGTGTATCAAACGAAATACCTGCTATATGCTTAG